ACTATCCTATGTCCTTACCCTGGTTCTACACTACCTCCCCACCAATTTTCAGCCACGATGCTTGTAACACCCAGAAGGAAGGGTCGGAGACACTACAAAGTATATAYRTAAATGATSAGTATGTCGAGTTGAGTCGATTTAGCCATATCCGTCTGTCTRCCCGTCCGTCCGTCTRTCTGTATATAAACGAACTAGTCCCTCAGTTTTTAAGATATCGTTTTGAAGTTTTGCAAACGTCATTTTCTCTTCAAGAAGCTRCTCATTTGTCGAACTGCCGATATCGGGCCACTATAACATATAGCTGCCATACAAATTGAACAATCGGAATCAAGTTCTTGTATGGAAAASTTTCACATTTAACGATATATCTTCACGAAATTTGGTATGAGTTATGTTTATAAAGATAATGTAATATCGAAAGAAATTGTTCCGATCGGCTCGCTATAGCATATAGTTTCCATACAAACCTAACGCTCGGAATCACGGTCTTGTTTGGAATACTTTCGCATTACACGTGGTATCTTCGGATTACCATAGCATATAGCTTCCATACAAACAGAACACATAGTTACTARAAGAAATGCACCTGTCATTCAAACTGAACGATCAGAATAAACTTGTTTTATGGAAAACATTTACGTTTGAGGAGATATATTCATATATTTGGCTAGGGATGAGTTGTATTATGAATTGATTTTTGTAAGCTATGACATACTTAAATGTGTATTCAAGTCTAGAATCCTGAATTTCGAACTTTCTTGATGGTTGGGCCTAACACTATAACTTATGGATTTATTTCATATGGCACCCTATCATAGGTATATTACTAACTTTTTAGTCTGCCTGATTTTGTATCGACTCTCACTTATCATATCCATGAAATATTATTCATAAAACACATGTATGGGTATAGAAAACATACATATATAACCTGAAAACCGAATATCCGCTCAGTTTACAACAGCAACCAATCGTTCTTCCTTCTCGTAGTTTGGCACCATTTGTAGATACCAAGTGCAGTCAGGTAGTTCTCCACCTGATCCTTCCAACGGAGTTGAGGTCTTTCTCTTCCTCTGCTTCCTCCGGTTGGTACAGCGTCGAGAGCTGGAGTGTTTTCCTCCATTCGGACAGCATGACCTAGCCAGCGTAGTCGTTGTCTTTTAGTTTGCTCAATTATGTCAATGTCGTCATATATCTCATGTATCTCATCGTTCCATCGAATGCGATATTCGCCTTGGTCAACGCGCAAACCATACATCTTACGCCGAATCTTGCTCTCGAAAACTCGTAACGTCAACTTATCTGCACCACTTAACAGGGCGGGAATAATGAGTGACTTATAGAGAATGGTCTTTGTTCGTTTACTTCTGAATTGCCTACACAGTATGAAGTAGCACCTGTTGGCAAGAATTATTCTGAGTTGGATTTTGAGGCTGACATTGTTGTTAGTGTTAATACAAGTTCCAAGATAGACGAAATATTTAACGACTTTGAAGTTATGACTGTCAACAGGGACGTGGGAGCCAAGTCGCGAATGCAACGACTTTCCAGCCCTAAAACCAATATTGGTAAGGTTCAATCAGTTTATTGATGGTGGGCTTTAATCTTTCACACAATAYGCTCGATAAAATCTTAAATGCGACGTTGGGATCTCTGTTTTTGTATGTTGAAGAGAGCACACTTAAAWTGCCATCGTCGGGGTATGTTCCTTATCAGTTCTTTGGCGCCATATTCATCGGCACCCGCCGCTTTGTTGTCCTTCTGATGGGTAATTACTATTCGAACTTCTTAATGGTCGGACAATCGAATATCCTCCCTACCGTCTTCGATTTCACTGCCATTTAGCGGGCTGGAGAAGTTGTTCCTCCATAATATAGTATGCTCTGGGCATTAGTCAGTAGATCACCTCTAGGGTTCTACWTGTGTACGCTCCGGTCGCCGCATCTTTTCGAAGAATTTTGAGAATTACTCCTGTCGGTCAGCTTGTCAAGCTCTCGGTATCAATCCCATCCCACACGAGTTATGGTGCATTGTAGCGTTGCRAGRTAGGCAGTCTGGTTTCTCTYCTCTGCSGCRCGGATTTCCCCATCGTACCAGTTGTTCTTTTGATTTTTCTARCTACACGTAAGGAGCTCGAAATTCCATCCCACAATCCCTTTATACCGAGTTACTGTTGAGTGCTCTCAGAGAGCAGTCGAGTAAAAAACCTTGTGATTGCAGCTTCTCGAATCGAACCTTCCTTGCATTTGTTGACGTGCGCTTTTGGCTGCACAGAGGCGTTTGCGCATCATGGCTTGTGGAGTCAGTGTTTGGAAATCGGACCATACCAAGATGCTCGATCAGGTTGGTGGCTTTTCGATCCGGRTASAGCCAGGTAGCTTAGTAACCATATTTTGGGCCYCAGCGAAGTCGATCAGCACTCCTTTAAATGGCAACGGCATCTTGTAACTGTTTGTCTATAAATTTTCTATATACTTATATATAGTATGTAGGTACATACATAGAAAAAATTAGTAGAAGCTAAACGTCTACTCTTCAAATAATCGACGATATCCGTACACTGCAAACCGAATATTATTATTCCATTAATCCTTTAATAKAGCTCTTATATAAATGCCATGTGTCATATATAAAATTTTATACATGTTACATAGATTTTATTTCAATTATTCTTCTTCTTCTTGATTGGCGTAGTCACCGCTTACGCGATTATAGCCGAGTTAACAACTTATTTCAATTATTACTTTGCCATAATTATCGAAAACACATTTTATTTATTAAGAGTAAACTTTAATAAAAGGAAATTAAACACGCACCACAAAACAATAAAATATAACCGATAATATAACCGGTAAATGCTTGCTTTCAGGTGAAGCTCTCAGGGACAGTTGCGATTCCACCAAACAACAACAGCAATGAATCGAATTATAATACCGAAGTAGAAGTAGCCAACAAAACCGAAAGTAATTTATAAAAATATAATTTTTTCYTAATTTTAWTATACTAATTATAATAAATATGTGTTTAAACTTTAAGGTGGCATTATCAATAGTTTAGAACAAACTAAATTGGCGCAGTTCAAATTCAAAGATGACTATATAGAGCAAGCGAGTTCAGCGCATATCGCTGATGCGGATGAAATAGAGATGTGCCGTTCTGTAAGAAAGTTAATATATCCGCATAGGGCAGTGTCCAAGAATTCAGAGTGGTTAACGATCTTACAAACTGCCCAGAATAAGCAAGGAGTTTATGTGGAGCAGTGTGTGTAAGTCAAGATTTAGACCATCATTTTAAATTTATAGAAATATAAAGCTAAGCAATAAATACATAATACCCGAAGCTATAATAATATTTGTTAAAATTAAAATTTATTTCGCAGTGAAGACGGTGGAAAATGCAAATTTGATGAAGTTTTCCCAGTGGGCTACAGCACAAGTTGCGTACAGCGCTACACCTATCGGCCGATGGTAGCACTCGTGAATGGCGAATTGAAGGAGGAACACATGAAATTACCACATTCATGCAAATGCGTACTAAAATTGAATCTGGGAAAACAAGGAACTCTATATTGAAATTTATATACACTTCTGTGGACTTTGGAATTGATAACGGTTTATGAATTTSATTAACTTTCTATACATATATATATACTAGATAAATATGTAATTTTGTGAAATTATTGTATACTCATTTTATAAATATATCTTTGTGGGGTAGTTTTAGTTTTCTGGTACAAATAAAAGCAAATACGAATCAATTATAAAGTTGTAATTTTATATATTTTTTTTATAATGTAATGCAAGCTGTAAAACGAGTTTGGTATATATTTATTTAGGGGGTGAGTTCGGGTGTAATCGAACATTATACACTCTTATATTAAAAATTATGTAGATTACAAAAAACAWTTTGGTATTTTATTAAGTTATATATGTAGTTTATAGCCCATAAACTAACTTAGTTCAATTGCTATATTTTACTTGGCGTCAGCTCTAATTATTGGTATAACTTTCAAATGAAATACTACGATGAGCAAAAAATAGTAAGACTTTGTTCATACATAATTTCAAAACTCGTAATTTATTCTATAAAATGTATATCGGCCACCGTCGCTTGKTTTTTTTTCCAATCATCGAACCAGTTATTAAAGTCAATTTCCGGAATAGCCATAAAGCCGTAGCGATTCACATTTAATATCTTCAGTTGTCTCAAAACGGTTTTCCTGGAACATTCGTTTGAGTTTGCTGAATAGCCAGAATTCACACGAAACTAAATCAGACGAATACGATACGTTGCTTGAAAATATGGCGAAAAATTCACGAAGAATCAATGCAGTATGCGACGGCCTTTTATTACTTATAACTTTCCGCAATCGACGCCAAACACTCAAATTGTATTCCTTGCTGACAGTTTAGCCAGTCGGAAGAAGTTCTGAGTGCACCACACCTCGATAATCGAAGGAAACTGTTAACATAACCTTGATTTTTGACTTGCTTTGAAGTTTTTTTCTTCGGTTTAGCCTCACGTTTGCACGATATTCGGACAACACTCGTCGTCAGTAATAATCATTTCATGGCCTAAATGGTCTTTGAAAATAATTTTCACTGATACTCGTAYTTCGCATATTTAAACGATTYGAGTAAAATATCTGACTGTTAGTCGCCGTTTTTCAAGAATCAAATCCTTTATTTTATTGACATATTGATCATTAGTAGATATGTTGATGGCCGTCCTGGACGTGGTTCGTTGTCAGCGCGTTCTCGACCCTCTTTGAATAATTTGTAACMCTCAGAAACACTTGGTCGTGATGAAMAATTATCACCGAAACCTTTATCTAATATTCTAAACATTTCGGCACCAGAAATTTGATTCCTCACACAAAATTTAATGGACAATCACTAGAAAGACAAGCTTATACGAGGTGTGTTCAAAAAGTATCGCGAATTTTGTGTTATTTCAAAAATTATTTATTTATTCATGAATATCTATTTTGTCCACTTCAAAGTAATCCCCATGAGATATTATACACTTGTGCCAACGGTTTTTCCAATCTTCGAAGCATTTCAAAAAATCCCTTTTTTTTTATCTTCTTCAGCTCCTCCTTCGATGCCGTCTTTATCTAGTCAAGAGAAGCGTAACACCGTCCTTTCGTGGGCCTCTTCAGTTTAGGGAACAAGAAAAAGTCACAGGGGGCCAGATCTGGGGAATACGGTGGCTGCGGCATCATTAGTGTGATGGTTTTGGCCAAAAATTCGCGCACAAGCAACGATGTGTGAGCAGGGGCGTTATCGTGGTGCAAAAGCCAATGTTTTTCCCATCTTATCGGCCTTCTGAGAACATTTTGTACCACCGATAAACGTTGCTTCGGTCCAAGGTAGCTTCTCCGTATGCCACAGTCAACATTCGGAATGCATCCGCGCACTTAATTTCGTTTTTCACACAAMATTTGATACAGGTTCTTTGAATTGGTAAAAATCGAAGACGATCCAAAACACGTGCAAGCAAAGCAGCTGTCAACAATTAAATGAACATTCAAARTGGGTGAGCTTGTCGGTAAGTGCTAAATGCTAAGTGAGAGACATGAGTACCAACACAACGCCACAAAAAATTTGTAATTCGAATATACGTAACACGCGAAAATTCAAAATTCGCGATACTTTTTGAACACACCTCGTACTAAACACTAACGATTATCATACAAACCTAGGAAAAAGATATTTCGGCGAATGTATTTTCGCACCAAAATTAACTTAAAACGTGTTAATCTTTTTGCCTATAGTATACATAAGCTCAACCAGAGAAGTTAAATTTAATTAGACTGGCTTGATAGTTTCAAAAAATCGATTTTTTGTCTTGCTAAATACATAGTACAATACATATGTTTAAAATATTCTTTAAAAAAATTTAAATCGATCCCAGCAAAATTCTAAGAGATAGAGGGAGAGCTATTGATAAACATGTTCACATATTGGCATCATTCAGAAGTTCTAGGTAGATATATGGGGTTAAGAGGTAAGTAAAGACCTGATTTAACACATTTTCCAGCTTTACACTGTTATCAAGAAAAGAGTTTCTCCGAATATCAATTATATATCTTGCACATTAATATTGACCGGGGTAGGTAGGGTAGGGTAGGTATTGGGGTTCACATTTTTACAATGTGGTGGTGGGCTTGAACAGTTTTGGTCCGACTTTGAATAATTCTACACTTYAGATGACATATCTTAAAGGCACTAATTGTGAATATTTTTATTCCGCTATTCGTGTTGGATTTTTATGCTATAAAGTAAAATAAGTTGATGGAATTTGAAGTTGTGATATAATATGAGAAGCARAAGTGATTGTACCCCGATGTCGTCTATCTTCGAACAGTAACAAAGTAATGTCAGGATAATTTGGTACCCAATTTGGTTCAAATTGATCGAGTAGATCCTTAGATGTGAGTTTTCTCCAAAAGGTGCCGCGCCYATCTCAAAATATTGACACCATCTCCAATGTTATATTTCATGTCTCCATARCAATCATGTATTGAGATACCCCATTTTTAGTAGTTTTTAACAAAGTCAGTAAATTAGTAGAGCTATCATCCAAATTTCATTTTTTCACACATTTGATCGAATTCAAACATATATATTTCACAATTAACTGATTGTAGTAGTAATAATTAATATTTTTTTGAACTACTAAGAACAATTTTGGGACTATCGTTAAATATCCAGAGAATAGGTCTATTCGTATTACATAGTATTGTCGTTAGTTTCTCACTAAAATAGTTAGAGAAAACAATCCAATAGCATTATTTCAAAATATCTTTTAATTATTTCTAATTCTGTAGAAAGAATCGACTGTAATTATGACTATTAGGGCTTGCGAAACTATAATAATGGCTGGATAACCTCAACGGAACTCATCCCAAAATAGAATGCCTCAAACATACAATTTCCCAAATTTCTTCCTTATGTAAAMCTAGCGTGTTATAATCAAGCTTCAATAGCCCTTTTACAATTGTCAAACATTTATGCATGAAAGTGTCCTTGCCCACTCAAACCCATACGTCGTAGGTCAAGTCTTGTTAAATTAAAAGATGTAAGGTAATGTTAAATTCAAATAAAGAAAAGCCCGTTTGGAAATCCCCTATGCATTGATACACTACATACATACTAAAAAAATCTTATATATACCTATCTTACTGAAGAATTTCCATCGTTTTCCGATCTATAAAGCAAGACTTATTTCCTTGAATTAAGAAGTGAAAAAACTGAGTATAATATTTTCCCACAGTCAAACGTAAGAAGTGGGTAGATTAGGTTGTGTTGTGTTTTTGGAATGTGTTCGTGGAGTCTCGAGTTTAGAGAACAGAAAAACAACAAAAAATCTAAAATCTTTTATTGACAATTTTACTTTTTTATTTGGTTTCAGTGGCTAAATATATGTAGTGTATGAAAGGCCCAGTCATGACAAAAATACACTTATTTGAAAATACCCCTGAGTTAACTTATTTATTCGATTTATTTTCCACTTGCCTGTTCATACAGATGTCGGCACATTTCTATAGATCCACACCGAAATTCCCTATATGGTCAATTAGATTATGACAATTGCGGTTGTCCTTTAAGAAATGTTGATTTTATAGTTCATTGTCACTCACTAATTTTCTCAGCTTATTAATAAGTAATGATTTCCTATGTTGAGGTAATTCTTAAAATAACAGCACATGTGAGTTGAATCCGTGCGGGCTTATATAACATTCTACGAAGCTTTCACTAATTTTATTATTTCCCACTTTGTCAATCGATTTGAGTGCTTTTCTAAGTTCAAGGAATTCTTAAGGGTGGCAAGTAAATCAATAAAGAAAATAGATATAAGGCAAGATAAATTTTATTTCCCTATTGACATACGCAAGTAAAAAATAATACAAAGTCATACACTTATCTCCTCCTACACACTTTTTCACACTAGTTGAATTAAATTGTTTCATATAGTAACGGGTAGAGCTGCAAAAATTTCGATAAATGGATCACTTAATAGTTTCCATAGTCAAAAGAAACAAGAAAAAACGTTAACTTCAGTTGCACCGAAGTTAAATACCCTTCACAGGTGCATTTCTGTTAGTAATCCGATCTGAACATTGATTATTACCTTAGATTGTATTATTACCTTAAGCAGTAATCCAAGTCAAACTTCGTGAAGATACCACGTCAAATGTGAAAGTTTTCCATACATGAACTTGATTCCGATTGTTCTGTTTATATGGCTATATGTTATAGTTAACCGATCTGTATAATTTCTTCCAATATTACATTATTTTTATGAAAAATAACTCTTACCAAATTTCGTGAAGATATATCGTCAAATGAGGATGTTTCTCATGCAAGCATTTGATTCCGATCATTCAGTTTGTATGGCAGCTATATGTTATAGTTAACCGATCTGAACATTTTCTTCGGAGATTATATTGTTGCCATAGAAAATAACTTGTGCCAGCTTTAGTGAAGATACATTGTCAAATGTGAAAGTTTTCCATACAAGAACTTGATTCCGATCGTTCAGTTTATATGGCAGCTATATGTTGTAGTGGCCCGATATCGGCAGTTCCGACAAATGAGTAGCTTCTTGTAAAGAAAATGGTGATTGCAAAATTTCAAAACGATAGCTTAAAAACTGAGGGACTAGTTCGTATATATACAGACAGACGGACAGACGGACAGACAGACAGACGGATATGCCTAAACCGAATCAGCTCAACATACTGATCATTTATATATATACTTTATAGGGTCTCCGACGCTTTCTTCTGGGTGTTACAAACTTCGTGATAAAATTAATATACCCTGTTCAGGGTATAAAAATAATATCGAGAATAAAATTTTTTTTTTTTTTTCAGAGAGAGTTTTTAGAGAGTGTTCGTAGCTGAGACTTGGTAGGATGTTATTCAAAATTAAACTTCACATTTAATAACGTCAGTTTAGATAATTTATATAGCTTTATTAAGTGAATTATGGCAAATTTATGAAAATTTTCAGAAAGTCTTGTTAAAGCATAAACCATCGATAGTCAAAATAAACTCTCGATAGTGAGATGAAAATAAAATAACTTAGTAATTCAGTTTTTTTTAAACGTGTCTCTTTCAATGGAGCTATACTTTTCCGGATTTGTTCCTTTTGCAACTTTCAGAATTTATTCACATTTTGGTTTGCCATTTCATAATAAACAGACTTATTGCGGAACAACCCTTGAAAATCGTGCAAACTGCTTACCGAAATAATGGTTCGGTTCGTGCGTCTAGTATTAGACTGACAGAATTACCCAGCAGATTAGGAAATTTAAGCAAACCTTGTTGTTATTTATAGTGAATAATGCGCATTCTCAGAGCTGCTTTACAGTGCGCACCGAATACGCTATTTATGGTGTGGAAGTAAATTTTGGCCGAAGTAAATTTTCTGAATGGGGTCTAACAAGATGGCCAAGGATTTCGCTTTCAACAACAAAGCGGTAAAGCTTACGACATTACATCCGCACTCTATAAACCTCCGTCATTTTTAAAAAAACATTCCTGGTAAATGTTGCTGTCAATGGGGAATGCTAAAGGATCATGTTTAATGAATTTTCGTGCCCAAATTGGAGGTTGTTCATGTGAGAAACCTTTGGTAAAACGAAACAATCAATTTATTGAAGGAAACTTTTGCTGAGCGCATAATCTCACTTCGGTACGCTAATTGACATATTTACATATGTATTGATATACATATACCTCAAACCGCTCTTTTAATGCATGTATAATTGTGGATGTTTATATCTACATATTTATATGCTATGTAGAAATGTTCTTCAGAAAAATGTGTATGTACAAGATTTTGAAAATAACGATAATATTGCATTTCATAAGTACATGACTGCATGACCCTAGTGCTGTCTTCTTTTATCAAAGTCCGTCTCTTTGTTCGCCATAACCCTTTCATTGTAGAAATAAATTTACTTGAATATATATAGATATTTATATATTTAATAAGGCCTGGTTTTTATTACTGGAATATGGTTCAGTTGTATGAAGCCCTAGTTAGCTGGTAAATTCTAAGCACTGATGATTATCTATGCGACAATAAATGACGAATCGTCAGTATTAAATTGATTATGTGTGTAAAGTATGTACGAACAATATTAGGGTGTGCTCAGATGAATTCAAAATATTTTTCCATAAAATATATTTTTAACCTTTGCTAAATGTTAGATATAGTAAAACTAGAAAAACAAAAATGTTTCTATCATTCCTTGAAAAGTGAACGCAAGTTGGTTGATGCTTATTTTTCTATCCAACCAACTGTATGCTGTACGTATACCTAGTAAATACTTGTATTATTATGCGTATTATACTCGGAGCTTACACCAAGGAGATGCTGGATTCTCTGTACGTGTGACCGAGAGTCTCTTCCTTTTGAATGTGTATCTTGTGCATGTCATATATACCTATAAGAATAAGAAGCTATAGTGCTGATAATTTTTTATTTCTTAACATAATTTTACTAATTTCGCCTCGAGAATTTATGCGATCGAGGCTAGCCAAGCTAAGTACGCCGTCGCTTTTTTTCGAAACTGGGTTTTATCACGAAATTTTAATTTTTTTGTTAAAATGTTTGCCAACAACCAATTTCGATATTTTCTTTCCTTCGTCCAAATTCTAAGTAAGATTTTAACGAAACCACGCATTTTTTCAATTTAGATGATCCTGTAAGGAGTTATCGTATCAACGCATATTTTCCGAGAGGTCAGCAGAAATGGCGCCGCAACGGCCGAGTTTAAAATATTTTTTTTCCAAAAATTTCACAATTTCTTTTATTAATAGTGTATGTTTTTAACAATAAATAATTCGAATAAAATATTTATTACTTTGTATGAAAAAAAAAAAAGTTGTTGAACAAAGGCTCTTTTTTACCAGAGGAAACCCCGGTAACCCCATAAGCTGCATGTCAATAACGTTTCCCAGAAAATAGTCCACCTATCAAACTGTCCTCGTGAATAAAAATTTTGGTTCATATGCGAGCACATATTTACGTCATATTTGCTTTTTATGTACAATATGCAAGCGTTTGTTTACATTTGCTTGTAATTATCATGATTACCGGTCGCATTTACATGCCAGCTAGCAGATATGGAATAATGAATGAACTGATTTGCTTTCTTTTTCACCCCACTCAAAGCAAAAGACATCCATTCAGGTGGGTGGAACTATATACCTTCCAATCCAAATACCTCCTTCCTAGCCTTAGGCACAGGTGTCGAACGAGTGCCGCGTACTCCACACCCAACACAACGTCATTAGCACCACCACTCCCACCGTAGTGACAGTTGTTGTTCATAAATACGCCACGCCGACTGGTGCTTCGCTTAAATTCGCGCCGGCACTCGTAGGGCTCGGCGCGTTGCCAGGACTCTCGGTGAATCTGTTCACTTGCAGACTTTCTAGCCAAACGTATTCAGGTATTTTAGTACGTTGCTGATTGTCAGCACGCTTGTCTACCAGCTCTAGTGTCTACTGTCTAGGGCTTTCGTTTGCCAACGGCATAGTGGCGAAAGCAGAAGTAAACAAATCACTTTGTGGCCCATATAAATGGGAAAATCAATAAGTATAATATTTTAATGTGTCTGTTTAATTATAACTCTTAAACGGTGTTAAGGAATATTATGAAAAATCGAGAATTAAAATGTAAAAATTGCTGACTTTTCGATTTCACCAGCACGCGTCGTCTGTCTTGGATCAACAATGAACTGAATGTGTCTATTACGTGTTTAGGCTTTTTAGCCTTATAAAATATTTGGTAGACCGCGTTGTACTCGATTTTTCGTCTGCTTGCGGTGGTGCTTTCACTTTCGTGCTAAGCTGCGTGTAAATGGCGTATAATCGAATTTAGCGTTAGAATTATTTGAAGTGTTTTGCAAAGGTCTTAGTATTACATTTGGCCAATGGGCGGCGTGTGTTAAATGCAAGAAAATTAAGTGTGTTATTGTTATTTTCTTGCACCTTGATACTTTGACTCGGATATGCACCGTGGACCTACGACATGGACGCGACGTATCATAATCACCACATTTGGACAACAAACAACGGATTCGTGCGAAATAATGCGCGGCCAGCAACAGGTAAGCTAATTGATTTAGGCTCGGCTAGACGGCAAAGTATAAAGCTCCTAAAGTCAGCGTTATATGCGTTTTTATAAAGCTTCTTTTCTTCTAAAACAACCGTCATTGTTTTAGTTCGTAAGAACAGTACAGGTCTATTGGCAAAAATTATCACACGCGTTCCTTGCTTCAAGGTCCAAACTGTTAAGCATAAAAACCTCTCAAAAAAGCTGGCGGAGGTTCAGGCGAGTCACTGTTGACATGTGACACCTGGCTTTGTACAGATAGAATAATATTCCTCCTATTAACTAAATTCTGCAGCTTGGGACTTAATGCTTCCTTTAGACTATCAACTTGTCGTCAGTATAGGTCCCAACTAATAATTTGATCGTAGCTCATAGTAGACGCCCACCAAAACCAGTAAAATTCTCTGAGCATCGATCTTTGCTTGGCCACGATTAGCGTTAGCCATTGGATCACGATCCTTTTGCTTGCTGTTGTTAAAAGTGATCCACATTTCATCAACGCTAAAGCTTTCTCGGAAATGGATTGGTTGATTCAGCACCGATTCGATGGAAATTGAGCTAAAAGTGGACTTAGCCCCCATATAACTAAAATCAGGAGTTTCGAACAGCCAGTTCTCTTTACTCCATATGATTCGTGATTTCTGATTTTTTTAGTATGTGGCATAATAATAGTTAAATGATAAAATCAGATTCGTACAACCCGAACTCTCATATACTACATATAATGATTTTCGTTTTCCTAACAAATCAAAATATTCGGGGTCAGTGTATGAATTATAGTATATACAAGGAGTGTTCCATAGTAAACAGGACTTTTAGAATCTAGCGCCCCATCTATATGTCGACTGGTGCCTTAAAATCTGCTATATTTATCGATTGCGTTTTAAGTGTCAGTATGTTTGTGTTATCGGTGCGAAAATGAGCTTTGAAAAAAGAGCCAACATCAAATTTTGTTTTAAAATTGGTGAACCCTTTACCGAAACGTTTCAATTGATGCAACAAATTTATGGCGATGGTTGCCTATCCCATGGCAGAGTGCACGAGTGATTTCAACGTTTTCAAAGTGGTCGTGATGATATAAATGACGATCATCCGGACACTCCACTGAAACTGTGAGTGAATTCATTAAAAATCAGCCGAAATCATCAATAAAATTCATGGATATGGAATTGAACATCTCCACAACATCGAATTATCGCATTTTTCCCGAGCATTTCGGCTTACGGAAGATGTGTGCACGGTTTGTTTTTCACAAATTGACTGACGATCAAAAATTGCTCAGAATCCAACATTCAAAGGACGATTATTTGACTAAAAATCACGTGTAAACCACTCCCCGTATTCACCTGATAGGGCACCGTGCGACTTTTCGGAATAATGCATTTGCTCATGAAAGGAAAGCGTTATGCAGACGTAGAGGCCATTCAAAAGGTTTTCACCGGCATACTGTGAATTATCATAGCTCCAAATGCGTGGATTTTGTTTGTTAACATACTCATTCAACAGCAAATGAGCTTCACCTGTAAAAATCAGGATCCATGGCCATTTTTGGAACCATTCACCAAGTTTTCTTCCGAAGTAAGTCTGCTCATTATGAAATGGAAAATTAAACTGGGTCTAAATCAAGTAACAGCTATCAAAAAGGCCAATTCCGTAAAAAGCATTGCCTCATTCATCAAATTGATAGGTGATATTTAAATTTATAGTTCGTGTGGATTCTAATCGGTTATTTTTTTTGTAAGTTGGTAGTACTGTTAGTGACATCTATTCTAAATTTTATGCAAAAATATCACAGTACAACAGCTAATCTGGGGGGTGAGAAATTCCAAGTCAGGGTGATGGTACTAGGTCAGTATAGCAAAACCTTCAAAGGGTTTGGCGTTCGTATGTGTCAGTTTTTTTATGACCTTTTAAATTTTTTCCTTATTTCCCATGGTTTCCCATCTTAACAAATAAATTTTTTCCAATCAGGCGTACTAAATGGACCAAAGAGTGTTCTCGGAAATTGGTTTTTTTTTTTTTTTGTTTTTGCCAAAATGTTACAACTAAGCGAAAAAACATCAAGATAAGGAAAAACTGGGTCATAAGGTCATACAAAAAAACTGACACATATGAACGCCAAACCCTTTGAGGGTTTTACTATATTGACCTAGTACCATCACCCTGACTTGGAATTCCTCACCCCCCAGACAATAATCCCAAAAATATTCCACAGTGTATTCATTAGTATTTGGGGTACGCGTCGTTTTGTGAGGCTCTAAGAGTGAATTCTTCGATTTTTACTATGCCTTCATTTATTTAAGAAAGCGATAACGCACCATCTCATATTGCATTGGTTATTCGCGATCATTTCGCCACATTTTCAACTAATATCGTGCCGTAATCACCGCATTCAACTGATTTCCCTCCATGTAACTTCTGGTTATTCTTTAAACTCCCTTGACCATTCCGAGGATACCGTTTTGACTCAATTGAGGAGCTGAATCGAAGAATGGCCATCACCATTACGACGGAGGATTTTTCCAATTGATACCATGACTGGAAAATTCGTTGGCATAAGTATATTTCAGTGGAATGGGATTACTTTGAAGGAGATCAAATGGACAAAATTCACCTTTCAATTTGATCACAGTAGTACATCTAAAGAGAAACATCTCTTATTTGTTATAGATCTCCAAACTTTGGCGAACATTGTTGCTGGCTGAAGAAATAGTATTCATATAGTGCAATGACACCTATTGAATCTTCAGAAAGCTTCAGAATTTTCAGTAAATGCAGTGCGGTTTAAAAAGAGAAAAAGGATGATGTAGTAATAAAAGTTTACCAAATAATGTAATGATTTCTATCGAAAACGAAAACAGTGATGATGGTAAATGATATTTCAAGCAAATAAGGAAGAGCTATGTTTGTGTGCAATCGAGCATTTTATACTCTTGGAACATGCAAGAATCAAAGCCAGGGAAACACTTTAAAATGAAAAAAGTCAACCAGAGGATCGGAATCTAAGGAAATTGATATATACGTATCTTTATATTATATATAAAAATCAAGTGTCGCGTTGTTTGTCCGCGATGGACGCCTAAACTACTGAATCGATTTTTTAGCACACTGTTTTCAGTTCGAATCAACTTAAAAGATAAGACAGTTAAGTCAGTTAAAAAAATAAGGAACATAGGAAAAGGTGTTTTAAATGGACGTCCTATTAAGCGGACATCTCCATTAACCATGGCCATTGTTGATGGGGATTAAGTGCAATCTATTAAGCGGACAACTCTATTAACTGCTCAGGAACGTTGGTAATCAGACATTAAGAAGGCAGCCTCAAATTCGTTATTATTTCCTATGAAATTTATTTGTATAAAAATATTAAAAATTAGATATCAAGTGCAATTCTTTAGATTCTTTAGATTCCCGATTTCATCTGTTCCATCACACTGTCGGTAGAAGTTCTTATAAGATTTGTACTAAGCAAATTTGGTTGCGGTAGCTTTAGTTGTTTAGGAAACATGCACGTTAAACTTATTAGAGGGCGGTCCACAGATGCTCCTTCCTAATGCCGTACGCTGTGCCAAAGTACAGTTTGATTTTTTAATTTAAGTACTCAGTTAATGGCGTTTTGTGGTCGCGGGAGGGCCCATCTACGAAATCGTTTTTATTCTAAGGAACTTTATACCAAGGTTCATCATGATATCTAAATTTTTACTCATGTTACAGTCAAACAGATTTTAACGTCTCTCGTCGTCCCGATAATTTAGATATATGTATAACACTACATCTATCTCGCTTAGTTTTGGGTAATACGTACAAGCGTTAGGTGAAAACTATAATACTTTGTAACAACAGGTTGCAAGAGTATATAAGGTGTAAGCTGCTTAAGTTTTAAGTTTACAATGGATAAAAATCAAACAAAATTTGTAATTCTAACCGAATTTTGTGTGCAGAACAGTTGCGAATGTTGGAAAACTAAGGCTAACAGTGATTCAGTTACAAAAACACAAGCCTACGAGTGCTACAAATTCTTCAAAGGTCGGGAGATTGACATGCCTCGTTCTGGATGACCTTCGTCCCCTTCAACTGATGAAAATATTAAAAAAGTGAAGGATATGATGCTTGAAAATCATTAGGCCAGTGTTGGGAGGTACCAAGTGAGTTCCACATCTCTCGCGAGTCCGTTCAAATGATTTTGGTGGATATTTTGGGTACAAAATGCGTTCTTGCCCGACTGCTCCCGATAAATCTGAGATTTTTTCAAAAAGGGTACGATTATGACCGAATTTAAAGCCAAAAACACAATGCCGAACAGCCATCGTCTTCCCCAGACTTAGTTCCGTGCGTTTTTTGTCTTGTTCCCCGAACGGAAATTGCCGCTCTGTGGAATTATTTTTCTGTCGATATAAGAGATTAAACAAAATTTCGATGAAAGAGCTGAGGGCCATCCGAAAAAGTTAAACAAAATTTCGATGAAAGAGCTGAGGGCCATCCGAAAAAGTGCTTAAGAAAAGTGTTTTATTACATTATATGAAGATTACTTTGAAAACAACAAAATAAGTATTGGTGAATAACTAAATATTTGGCATTTTATTTACAAATTTGAGGTATTTTGTCAAGTGTCACAATTTTTTTATAGTGTCTCTTTAATATTTTATTACTTTTTGATATCTAAAAGTTCACAACTAAGATCTCTAGACATGCTTATGATTGATTTTCAATTGCAAACTTGAGGAATTCGATGTTACGCCCACAATGGTGCTAGTAGGGAAAGCTACAATACAAAATCTAAGGACTTTGCACATTTTTTGCTAAGCCACCCCTACAAAACTAACAAATTCCAAAGCAAACACATTCAATAATAGTTTTCCAAGAATAAAGTTTTAGGTTTTGCCTCACAAATACATGTGCAGTTAATTGAGTAAGCAATTTCATCTATAGAATCCATAGTAAAATAATTATGTAAATTATTTGCTGCAAAAATTTGAAAACAATTTATTGCCAACT